GTCAAAGGGTCCGTATTTTGTGAGATTAGTTATGTGTGTTGTTTAATGTCTGGTGTTTTTTAGGATCAGTTAAGCCATTCAACGCCCTGTACTCATGCGAACGGTGCGACACTATGTGGACAGTGGGAGCCCACAGCCCAAAGTACTCGGCGGTCGACCAGTGCCTCCGTTGCCGTCACGACTATCGGCCCGTATGTGTGGTATGTCTTCTAGTGTTTCATAATTGTCTTAAGTTTTATCACTCATTGCTTATTATGTCTCTTGTCTTCGCATAGATTGATACCAAAGGTACGGCACATCCCTCTGCAGCGCCAACACTCTTCGCGCACTTCCCGTCCATCAGTATTGACCACTAATTATCTGTGCATTTGTCTTGTCTCGCAATAGGGTTTAAGCCGGAGTTCTCGACCTCCTATTACGGCGAGTATCAGTGCTCGAGAGGCCGGTGCGGACGGGCCTGGAGTTCGCACCAGTCATGGCTCGGCTATCAGCGCCAGTGTCCGGACTGCACCAAATGGATATACCCCTGGCTTCTGGTATAAATGGTCACCCCTTCTATAACCCTCCCATCCCTTTATAACGCACTTAATTGTATTTATCATGTGTTTTGTAGCGAACTCACGAGTGGGTGGGCCCGGACTCCCTGTCCACTGGCAATGTCTTCAAACGTAAGGCCAGGCGTTCGGTCGGTGAACATCGATCTGGCTTTTGGGCCCGACTTTGGCTTATAGTGGCAGTGGTTTTGGTGATGGCGGCCGTCGCAGCCGTTGTGGTGGCCACCGGTGCTTACGATCGACTCGTGCCGTATGTGGCGCCTGTGGTGAAGGATCTGATGGCCAAAGTGGACAGCATTTACGCTAATTGGGGATCGGATTAGGGATTGAATGGCCAGTCGTTGTCCGGGCGCTTACTTTTGCCGATTTGCACATTTGTTTTTTAATTTTTCATAACTTTTTCTATTATAATTATCTCTCATTTATTTTATTGTAATTTTTGTAATAGACTTTTATATGGAATTTAAATTCAATTTTTTAGTTTTTTGTAATAGACTTTTAATTAATTAGTGTTTTTTGTTTTTATAAATCAAATAATCGATTATATACTGTATTAACGATAACTTTTTCATTAATTATTATAACACTGTTTTGATGTAATGTTTTTATCTTAATATTTTCATTACTTTGAATTAAAACTAATTTTTTGTCGCAATTTAAATATGATTTTGTGGTTATTTATTAGAATTTATTTTACGATTTATTTCTAATTAAACTTTAAAAAGCTATATATTCAACATTTAAAATATCAAATTTAATAATAATTTTAAAGTTTAACAACTAATATATTGTGTATTAAATGTTTTTGAATTTCATTTAAGTTTTTAAACAATTTTTTATTAATTTTATTGCTCATTGAAAGGGTTGGCCAAAAACGGGTCGGTTTTTACCATTTATCATAACTGTTTAGCGGTTTTGAATGAAGTTTTGAACATAAATTAAAAACACAATTAAAAGTGACATTAATTACAACACAAAACACTTGTAATTTTCAGGTCATTTCACTGATCGCTGTTTTATTACTCAAATTCATAGACATTAACAAAAAATTCGTTAAACAAATAGACAATTAAATGAATAATTAGTTATAAATCTAATTAAATAAACAGCAATCGAGAGAAAAATACTTTTTAATCAACAAATTTTAATTCAAAATCAAATCATATTTCAATACAAATCAAATCACTATATATTTGGCATCCGATAGTTGGGAATCACTTCCCTGACAATCACCAGAGAATATCTGATCCACTCGTTGTATGCGTTCCACAGATGAGTGCCTCCCGTCTGTCCTCCCATTAGCGACGATAAATGATTGAAATAAACGTCACAATTGGTCTCAAATGATTGACGACTGTCCTCGTGGGTCAATACAAACGGTTGGCCGACGGCCGGGATCTGCCACTTGGGTTCGGCGCCAACTTTTTTATACGCTTTCCAGCCCTCTTCGAGTGTGATGTTGTCAATCAACTCCCTCTCAGTGAGTCTGTGTCGGCCCCGGACTGTAGTTCTCACAAACCCTCCCCTTTGGGACACTTTGAGCGCCAATTCGGCCGCCGCCTCATCGACCACATGCTGTTCGACGCCCGACCTCTTGACGGAAACCAATTGTGTGAATGCCTTCTCTTCGGCCGACAAGAGTTTCATGTATTGGCGGACACTTTGCCGTCCAATATCGGTGTTGAGCTCGTCGTGCACTCTGAGCACAGGTGCCCACCATTTGAGAAACTCAGCCGATTTGATCTCATGAAGAATGTCGTGATCGGTGTACGAGTAATGAGGCGGCACTACATCGCCGATGAAGTAGTCGTCGAGTCGGGCCTTACGCTCGTCGGACGCGCTCTGCATAACGCGGGCTCTGTCTATGAGGTCATAGACACGGCTCGAGTTGTTGTCATCCACTTTACACTTCATGTCACTTGATTTGACTGTCAATATGTCTTCCCGAAGGCACTCTCCCACGAACACAGTGTTGGCGTAATTCATGGCAACGGAAAGGGAGGCACCGGTGCTCTAAACACTGTCTTCACTTTAGATTCAATTGATTTAATTTGTATTTGGTTTTGATTTTTGGTTTGAATTTTGAATTTAACTGTTTTTTTCAATAATTGTAACTGAAATTTGTTTTTGAAATGAATGTGAGATTTAATTATTTGAATTCAGTTTATATACAAAAATAATTATACATTTTTAACGCGCGATTAAAACACATTACAAATAATGAAAAATAAATGATTTAATTCACGTTAAATAATAGGCGAGTAATTGTAATAACGGTTAAAATGCATAGAAATTAATACCAATTTAAAACAATTGAATTAACAATTTTCTGTATATTATGTCATAACGTTATACTCAATACCTGTCCACTAAAAAAAACCCAAAAACACCATAAATACAGTATTTTTCGGTACAAATACAGTAAAAATCCTGTTATAAAAATTGTTAATTTAAATTTCTAAACTAAAATTATGTATATTTTCCTAGATGAAAATGCTTTTGCATAATTATTTCTTAAAATAATAATTTTACGGTACTATTAATTAGTATTATTTGTAGTTAAAACTATGTTTGTGTCAATTAATAGTTTTATTTGATTTTGTGTTAATTTACAAATTCATTGTTTAATGCATTAAAATTCAATGCAATTAACCATTGAATCAACATTTAATATATGAAAAGTTTTGTCTCAAATTGTATTAAATTTAAATTTACTCTCAATTAAAATAAATTGCATTATAAAATCTACCGTAATAACAAATACGATAAATACAAACTACTGTCGTATTTCATGCGATTTATCACATTTAGCTAAAATATTTTACAAAACTTATGTGTCAAAAACATGGTATAATTGTACTAAAATTTCATTTAAATTACATTAATGGTTGGGCATAAAAGAATCTACATTTGCATTGTCTGTATGCAAATGACATACAATGAATATTTATTGCATTTATGTTCAACCCTTTCACCCCCGATCAGTTCAAATTAATGAGCTCTAGCCTACAGTTGAGTTCATACTGTGTGACTCATACAGAGAGTGAACATGGTTTGAAAATTTGAATTTCAAACACTGATTGGTTAAAACATTGAAATATAAAATTCATAAAACAAACCATTTTTAGCACAAAAAACTTTTTCAACGCAAACTTATTTCACAACATTTTTTAGGCCACAAATCAATTGATGATTAAGTGATTGATTTGATTGTCACTCAAAGCCAAACGATTATCACTACAACAACCGGACGGACACACAGTCAGTATGAGTCGACGGCACAGCACTGGCAGCTCTATAGTGAACGCCAGGGGCGGCGGTAATCGACTGAGACATCGGAGCCGGCACTCAGTGGCCGCCGCGGCCGACATCGGGCCTAATCTGGCGATCAGTGACCAGCAGTACAACGACGAGAACCTGGAGCTGTTGGGGGACACCGACGATGAGATGATGGCGGCGCCGGTCTATGCGATTGTGGATGCGGTGGACAATCGACAGCAGCCGCAGCGGCGGCACTGCCCGGTCTGCGCCCAACGGACATACACTCGGCTAATGGTATGTATGACTACCCCCACACATATACCCCTTTCCAATGCCCCCTTTATTAGATCCCTATCTCTAATTGTCTAATCACTTGGTTTTTTATAGGCTCCGGTGGCCGGTGAGCGTCGGTCAACATTTTGGGCCCGACTATGGCTTTTAATGGCAGTGGTTTTTGTGATGGCGGCCGTCGGGGCTGTTGTGGCCACCGGTGCTTACGATCGACTCGTGCCGTATGTGGTGTCTGTGGTCAACGATTTGGTGGTCAAACTCGATATCATTTATACGTTATCTAAGTTTTTAATGAGTCATTAATTTTTGCGTAACTTTTTTTGTGAGTTTTTTGCGATTACTGTCTCTCTATTATTCATACGTTTTCCTGTAATAGACTTTTACATTAAATTTTAAACTTTTCATTTCGTATTTAAGTTGTATTTTGTAACGATTTTTAATTTCATTTATAATTGATTTGTTTATTTTATAAATCAAATGTACGTTTTTTAAATAACGATTACTTTTTTTGCACATTATTATATAGATAACATTGTTGTGTATTTGTTAATGTGAAAATTTGTTGATTAAAAAAATTAATTTCTCTCAAAACTTGTTTAACTGTTTATTTTATTTATTAATTAATGATTTAATTTGATTTGTATTTAATTGTCTATATGTTTAACGGATCTGTTGTTAATGTCTATGAATTTTAATAATAAAACAGCAATCAGTGAAATGAACTAAAAATTACAAGTGTTTTGTGTTGTAATTAATGTAACTTTTAATTAAGTTTTTAATTTACGTTCAAAACTTACTTCAAAACCTCTAAACTAAAACCAGGCAGAATAATATAGGGGGCATTAATAATATGACGTGGTTATTGAATCACCAAGGTGTCTTTAAACGAAGACCACAAATGGATAATAGAGTGGACTCTGACTGACCGCCGATGTAATGGTGATGATCGGCGACAGACCTATTCGAGCCATATGGCCGTCTGTAGTGTTGCTAGATAATATTTTGGATTTCCTGCATAATTGTGCAAATTTAAACAAAAATTTCTATCTTTTACTATATTTTAATTTGTTCACAACTTTAAATTCATACAAGTTTCAAAGAATTATATATGTGCAAAAGTTCTAGTGCTTATACAATGTATTTATAATTAAGTTAATTATGTTTAAATTTTTTAATTTCTAGCATTAGTTCAGAATGTAGGTGTTCAGGACTATTATTATTAACAAATCTGAATATTATACTATTATAGTTTATTGCTCAAATATTTATTTCTGTATTTTTCATTGTACAGGAATGACAACTTCATGTCCACTGCAATACTTCTTAATTCCTGTATAATACATGTCATTCTTGTAAATCTGGCAACGCTAGTTAGGGGTCAGTCATAAGTAAAGGACAATGAGATGGCACCAGTGAAATGAGTGCGGAGTCGTACCCGCATTAGTTGAAAACAATGGTCGGCGTCGTTGTCGTAACGGTTGCGCGACATGTCTCGGGCCGGCGGTCGCGATCGGCCCCAACCGAGCAGTTCGGGTGCGACCACAGTATAGACACTCATATCGAGCCGGTGTTTGTAATAGGAGTTCGTAAAAGTCTGTCCGTCCGGTGCCTGCGGTCACACATACTGTATAATTAAATGTGTCTTTGATTATACCCTTAACACTAACCTAAACCCCGGGTATTAACAGTAATGGTTTGGGACCCAAACTGAACTTCTCGTACCACAAGTGGTGGCCATTCAGTGATATCTTGTCGGCGACGGCGGCGACAGTGTCTTCGTCTGCGTATATAATTTATTGGTCGAGTGTTTGGTCACTACA